CTGATACGAATCCGCGCGCATACAGGGTCATGAAAAATCAAAATAGGTGGTCAGTTAATGTGTGGGGTGGAATACTGGGCCAATATTTAATTGGATTGAAGGACATCTAAATGGTTTGATGTTTCTCTAGTTTCTAATAAACCATCTCTCAATATTATTAGAACAAGTTCCTTTCAATATTAGAATCAACATGTGGGTTCAATTGGATGGAGCTCCACCTCATTATTACTGCGGAGTTCGGCAATTTTTAAATGCCAACTTTCAAAACAGGTGCATTGGCAGAAATGGGTTTGAAAATTCGCCCCCCAGATCTCCGGACTTAACTCCACTAGATTTCTTTTTGTGGGGTACATAAAGGGAATTGTCTACCATACGCTTCCGACAACTTCACACGATTTGAAAACACGCATAAGAGACGCTTTTAAAACTTAATTAATCAAGTTATAGCCACTTAAAGTTCTTATTTGATTAGTTTAAATTTGTGGACACCTTGTATAAAATGGTAAGTGTGTCATCATTGGTATATAAAATATGATTTCTTGTTACACTACACTACGAATTACATTTACATAACTTAAATAATTCTAAAGTTTTTGACACATGAAAATAATATTAGATTTTGAAAAAATTCGAATTATTTAAAAAACCTTTAGATTTAGACATTGTAAATATTATTAAAACGAACACTTATTTTGCTCAGAGCATCGAAAAATGCAATAATATATAGGGTGTTTCATTTAGAAATACACAACTTTGATACTTTTAGGGCTTTTGGGACACTCTGTACATTGCAAAAATATTTTTAAAATGTGCACCCGATAGGCGTCTGTGGATTCAAGAAATAATACTTTGCAAAAAACAAACGGTCTAGCCGCTAACGTACGTGCAGTATAGCGTGAATAACCTTGTAAATTGTAATTTAGCAATCATAGCATATTTGCTTTACTATTTGAGTGTAGCGGTAGTGGGTAGCTATGTAGTAAAAATTAAATACTAGAGATCCAAAACTTCGATAAACGAACAAAAAGCCGGGAAAGATTAAACTTTAGGCACCTAGGTACGTTTTTGTTTAAAAATATTTACTTACGCGACGACGATTCGTTAAAAGAGCGGTGTTTCTACGGGTATTTTGTTTTTTTATTGCAATAATTCTATTCTGTTGTATTATAATAGCCATATTCTTGTTAAATTGCGCCACAAACACACATTTTTCACAGGTCACAAGTGATACGAAAAATGCCTGAATTTAAGAAGAAATGTCGACAGTACAGTGTTGATTATTTTAAATTTGGTTTTTTTCCATCAATAGCAGACAAACGATTGCCGATGTGTCTTTTATGCAACAAAGTTCTGAGCAATGACTCTATGAAACCATCGAAGCTCGAAGACTATCTAAGAAGGTGTCATCCTGAAAAAATAGGTAAAGATCCGAAATTTTCAAACATTGAAGGAAAAATATGAAAAGAGACCTACCGTAAATAGTATGTTTGCTTTAACGTCTCAAAGTAACGATGATGGCTGCGGGCATCATACAATATTTCGTTGCTTATAGCAAAATCTGGAAAATCTCACACCATGGGAGAAGAGTTCATTTTACCCGCTATTGAAGAGGTTTTAAAAACTGTTCTGCACGAAACTGTATTTGACGTACTTAAAAGAATTCCTTTAAGTAACAACACTATTAAAAGACGTATTGATGAAATGAGCTCTGATATAGAAAACTTCTTGTGTAATTATCTGCAAACCACTCATTTTTCGATTCAATTGGACGAGTCTACTTTGCCTGGTAATGAAGCATTATTATTGGCATATGTTCGTTTTGTTATGGACGAAGAAATCCATAAAGAGCTGCTATTCGCAAAAACTTTGAAGTCGTGCACTAAAGGCGAATCGGTATTTAATGTCCTGAGTGATTTTTTTACAGAAGAAT